CGAAATAAGGTCCCATGGAGTTCCACCGCAAGGGGAGGGACTTCGCCACTCTATATGGTCGTTTAATTTCTCTTGCATTTATTTGCATTGTATTTGACACAGTGGTAATCCAAAAGTAACAGAAAGTAATCAAGTGGCATTTGTTTTATATTTTTATAATCAGATTAGGCTACCGATTACATAATTTTACGGGTAGCTAGTAATTGTAACAGATTACATTTTTAAAGTTACCCTCCCAACCCTGCTTATCATGAAAAGAACGAAAGCAGAAAAAGAGCAATCGCTGCGCCCAAGGATTATTCCTTTCATTACAGAGGTCATAGGCTTCTGTTGAAAACAAACACTTGCCCCGGCATTCAATTTGAAGTTGGGCTGCAGCAGATGTGGAATGAGTTTAGCACCACAATCTTAGCTAAACAAGACAAATGCACTGTTTTCGACAATTTACAGCCTTTCATGGAGTCTCCCCCCGATCATTAGTGCTGCACAAGTGAATGAAAAGGAGGAAATCATCAAGGCCTCCTCTCCTAATCTTTTTATCACACCACGTTTTCTCTCAGAATCACGCACACCAGCATGATAAGGATGCATCGTTACAAGTAGTTTCTCCTTTTTTCATGAATACAACCTTTTTAATGTGTTTTGATTCGACGTATAGAGCTCAAATACATCCGTTTGCTACAATGTCACTAAACTGCAATTTTATTTGACTACCATCTCTGATGGCCAGATGTCTCATAAATACTTGTTGTGCGTCAAAAACACCTGCGATGGTGTGATGTACTCACACACACACACACACACACACACACACACACACACACACACACACACACACACACACACACACACACACACACACACACACACACACACACACACACAGAGTCTGCTGCTGACACAGCATGCAGAGCCCTTTAGTTGTCAATAACGTTTAAATATTGCTGTCTGCAGTTTCCTGTGTTTGGTGCCTGATGAGGCCAAGTCATCGTATCAAGTCGAAGGCACAGGCTATGACACCTACCTCAGAGACGCTCACAGACAGGTGAGGCTCATTCTACAGCATGCTTGATGCCCTCTGTGGGTACTGTTATTAATCAGTTTTCTCATCTGTAGCTAGTAGAAGAGATATTAAAGTTTGGATATATTGTCCTCCTCAGTTCAGGGACTATTGTGGGGTCTGCCAGCGGTGGGACTGGAGGGGGAATCCAAAACCTTTAGAGAAGTGTAACCTGGACAGCCCGTTCTTCGAGGGCCACTTCCTCAAAGTTCTCTTCGACAGGATGGGCCGCATCCTCGACCAGGTGACCCTCCATATTACAAATATCTGAAGAACAGCTGCATGCCAAGGTGTTGAAATATATGTTTGTAAAATCTGTTGCATTGTCTAAGATCCACCTGTCTGAATAGCAAGATGCCCAAAAAGAAAAGAAGGAATTACACATTCAGGCTGTAAATACATCCATAAAAAGGTTGCCTGTTGTTTATGGAGTAAATAAGTTACACAATCATTTATTTTCTCAAGTTTGAAAGGTTGTCGAGTCCTCAGCTGGTTAATCAAGCTGTGTGTAACCAGACTCCAGTGAATTAGATACGCTTTCTGTATGCAAATCATTTCAAATCCTATTTAAGGTCAAACCCAGAGAGAGCCATCGCTCCTAAAAAAACAATATTAGTTTAAAAAGATGTAATTACACTGAGATCTAAATGTTCCTGCTGAATGAGAACAGTTCACTGATGAAGTGTAAATGAACCCCTGTAATGGAAAGTGGAGAAGAAACAGACATGATGTGAGTGAGCTAATGATTATGCAGAGGCCTTTTTATTTTTCCAAACAAAAAAATATAATGAGCTCTTGCCATAAACTAATTTGACTAATCATGTTGGATGGGGAATATGCAGATTCTTAAGTGAAATGCACTTTTTGGCAGCTCTTATCGCAGCTGTGTTTAGTGACGAGTCAGAAGAGCTTCTGACTGTGCGTTAGTTTGTGTTGATAATTCAGAGCTACTCATTGAACCTGCAGCTTCCTCTCTGACTCCTCTCTGTCCCACAGCCCTACGATGTGAACCTGCAGGTGACCGCTGTGCTCTCCAAGCTCTCCATGTTCCCGCACCCCCACCTGCACGAGTACCTGCTGGACCCTTACATCAACCTGGCCCCCGGCTGCAGGTCCCTGTTCTCTGTCATCGTCAGGGTGAGGCTAGATTATAGACTTTATCTTATCTATTGTTTATGGCAGCACTGCTCTTCCCACGGCGTACACGCACTGGAGCAGGTACCTAAACATGTCTTGTTGTGTATAGGGATGCCAGAAACTGACCATGATCAAAATCGAAAATCGGACAGCCCTGGCGAATAATAATCGATTATATAAATAAAATCGAATTTTAAAAATAATTTTCGACTATGGAGACTGTAACGAATAATCGAATAATTGCTGGCATCCCTAGTTGTGTACCAGAGGTGTGGACTCGAGTCACCAATTTGATGACTTTGGACTCGACTTGACAAAACACTTGCGACTCGACTTGGACTTGAGCCTTCTGACTTGATACTTTAATATAGAGGTCTCCAACACGTTGATCGCGAGCTGCCGCTAGAAGAGCAGACTCCCGTCGGGGTGCTAGCGAACTGTCAACTGGGGG